ATTTTTTTTAATGTAACACTAGTTTCTCAACCTCAGTAGAGAAGCTTTATGATGGGGTTCCCCCCAAACCTATTTGCAGCTCTATGTAATATTTTCCCCTTTTAGTTATTTGCATTTAATTAAGTATAAATTAATCAGAAAATAAATTAGTTTCAGATCATTTACATTTAAAAAGAGGCACTCAGAAGCATTAAGATGAATCTTTGGTTTTGAGAAGAGTATTTTTTTTTAAAAAAAACAAGCAATTAGAGGCTGCTCCTGCACAGCAGTTGTTTTTTTTCCATCTCTAGATTCCTCTGCTGGCTGCCAGTTCTCATCTGCTCGCTCTCCTCCCTGCAAGTCCAGCCAGCCAGCCAGCTCTATAACCATTAATTAACAGGCCAGAGTAAGGGAGAAGGACATTGAACATTGTGAACTCATTTCTTTCCACTTTTATTTCCCTGCTGCAGCCATTTCCTCCTTCTTGACTTCAGTTGGAGAATGCTCTAGCATTAATTGGCAGAGGTCAGGAAGTAGAAAATGGCTGCAGCAGAAATTAAAAGAGGAAAAGGGAACAATTATTCTCCTCCCCTCCCTGATTCTCTTGCTCCTTCCTCTCCCGCCTGTTCAAGCCCCATATTTTCCTGTTTCCCCCAGACCCCATCCTTTCTGCTTGCTCAAGACTCCCTGCAGCTCTCCATTCTGCAACCCCAGATGTTCTCCTCCTATGCCCCCAGGGTTCTAATTTGTTTTCTCCTCTTGCTGACCAAGTTCCTTTTCTTCATATCCAACCTTGTTTTCCCCATGTTCTTTCCATGGCTGCCTCCCCAATCCAGCATCAATGCAGGGCCCACATGAACTGGCAGATGAAGGGCAGAGACGAGTAAAGGAAGATGGGCAAGGAGATGACGTGAGAAGAAACGAGGCACATCTGGGAAGGTGGATGAGGGATGGGAGGAGTTTGCTGTTCTTTGCTTCGTGACAGTATTTAGTCAGAATTCATGCAAACTAAAAAAAAGTTTCAAGCCACACAGGGATAGAACTGCAAATGTATCAGACAGGACAGAAGATAGCCTGGAATTCCTATTTGGTCTTTATTCTTTGGATTCCGTACCTCTCCACAGAGAAGCTATAATCATAGCTTTATTTCAGCTTCCCCTGAGCTGAAGGCCACATAAGGTGTTACATGGTATATCGATGGCATTACTGCAAAAGGAGGCAAGCAGAGGGCATGTTTAAGGAGAGGCTTTAAAGAGTTTTAAGAAGCAAAATGGATGCCTTAAGAATCTGACAGGCTTATGGCATCCATTTTGTCCTTTAAATTTCCCACAAATGTAAAATGTTCTACCATCAAGAGTTTTAGGATGACAAAAGGTATGGTGTACTTTTTTGCTCCTTTCCTTCATTTCCTGCCTCTTCCATCCTCTCAAAATCACATCTGACAACATAAACACTTTGAAATATATTTTGAAATCTGTACATGCCATGTTGTCTTATCCTTTACTTATGAAAACGCCCGGAAGACAGATGCCTGAATGAAGAATAAACAATTCAGCTTACAATTCAGGCCAAAGACAAGGACCCAATTTTGATGTACATATATTACATTATTAAGCGAAGATACGTGCTTTACCCTTGCACCACTTTTCTGCCATGCCCATATGCTCTCTTCTTAGCATTTCTGCACTTGCAGCATTAAGTTGACTTAATTTCCCAAACCCAATTTCTCAAACTGAAAACTATGTTTACCAGCACTAACAATTAAGCCAGGACCCTAAACCAATACTAACTGTGATTAAGACCCTAACCTTGTTTTGAGCCTGGCAACTCTACTAAACTGAGCCACCAGTGGAGCCAACACACACCCAAGCGTGTATGGCCTCCACTGTTACCACTTGCTCTCACTGTAATTGTAAGGCTGTGCATTATTTATACGAAACTAGCACGGGCCAGGTGTTTTTTTCAGGGCTGGTAAGATTATTATATTTAAATTGGTACCACTGGGGAAATAAAACATTTGGAGAACTGCTAGCATGAACTTGCTTTCTAAATTTCACTGCACCTACAAATCTCTGTTTTGATTATATAAATAAAAGAAACCAGTCTGGTGAGTACTTTAATTAAAGGCTTTGTATTCAAACATCTCTCTCTCCTCACCATTCTGATTATTTATGAAGAAAATTGCTGGCAAATTGTTATTAAGATGGATTACTGTGGCTGCTATTTCATGACAAGAAAAATAACTCTATATGTTTAGAATACAAGTGATAAGATAAAGACTTAAACAGCTTTGCATTTTCCTAGCCAGATATAGCTGAATGGGTGAATGTTAAGACTGGATTAACCAACATGCCAGCAGATCAGGGAGAGGACTTGATTCTGTGGCCCGTTGGTAGGACAATTTTCAGAAGGTCTTCAAAGAGTTGATATAGTATTGTACTCCTTTCAAATTCTCAGATAATCTATTTGATATTCTGGAGAGAGCGAAGAGCAAGAGAGAGGTGTGTCTTGCTATCTTGCTCCTTGCTGCCCCCAACTTTTCCACTCAGTTGCTTTTCAGTATTGTGAAAAGGTCTTGGAATAGTAACAGAATAAAATAAATAAATGAACTGAATTGCCTGTTGGTTGCCCATTATCAAGGCTTTGACAGGAATCCTGCACAATTAAGGTTCTAGTGCACAGAGGCAGAAATGTACAATTCAGAGACTCCCTTCCTTAAATACCCCCTTCCCCCCATAAGGAAGGCTCAGCACATGCAATGCCATTCACTTTTTGTATAATATTTAGAGTAAAGCAACTTATGGCTCAAATAAGAAGCCCTTTTCAGTGGTTCTCAAATTATCCCTCACCATGCCACCAAATTGTAGAAGCAAAAAACACTGATTTTCAGTGGAAAATTATCACTAAAAATTGAGTATTATCTTTTTGCCCTACTATGCTCTCCCAAAAGGTACAGATTGACTGTATTAAGCTCATTAATGTGCAACACACTTATCTGCTTCTTTAATCCCACTCTCAAAGCTGAAAAGGGAAGGAAGTGGGCTTAGGCATAGCAATATTAAATCCAACCCAAAAAGCAACACCTCTTTTGCCTCCTACAGCTGTGACTTTCTCTGCTCCAATCCTCTTCTCTTATACTCACTCCATCCTCTGCTATCTAACCAGGAGACATCTGTGACAGCACCTTAGGATGACACAGGATAATTGTCACCTGTACCACATGTAGTTGCTGCTACACATTTTTCAAAGATGATGCATTTTCTTCACATTGTCCACACTGTGGCATGTTATACCTGTGCTGTATTATTTGCATCTATTCATTAGGATGACTGCTATGCAAATGAGAACCAATTATATCTCCCAAATGCTGGACTTCAGACTATGGCATGCCAAAATGTAGTATATCTGCATCTGTACAAAGAATCATGTATCCTGCACTGTATTAATTGAGAAAGAGACAGAACACCCTGAGCATAAAAATCCTATTATGTCTCTAGTATGTGTTGCACAGAACATTCAATAACACTGTACATAAAACATCTGAACTAACATGACTTGAAACTGAATGGGATTACCGTTGCTGTAGTAATATAAAAACCTTAAACCACAATCACTCAGAACCTCTGCTTTCAAATTCTGATGAACAAATGTGTCGTGTGTATGTGTGTGTGTGTTTTTATGTACAATGAAAAGTGTCTAAAATTTTCTTTCATTGACAACGTGCACAAGAATGCTTGACAATATATACTGCAAGGGCCAAATGTAGCCCATTTCCTCTTTTTATATGCCCCATAAGATATTCCAAATAGTAGTGCTTATGTCCTTCAGGTATCCTTGCGTGTGGCTCACAGCAAAACTATGGTTAAGTCAATTCAGTTCTCATAAGAGCCTTCTGGCTGCTGGCTACAAAGTCATCACAGCCCAGAGAGAGAGTGTTTGTCTGTTTGCCATTGAAATGATCAGAAACCAATCACAGATGTGACACAGATGGATCATCTTTTTTGTAATATTCCATCCAGGTTCTCATACTAATCGGTGACGATGAAAAACATCTGCTTTTAAAGAAAATTGCATTTAATTAACTCTGCATTTAAATGCAGATTTCAAGAGATAAAGTTACTCTTTTTGTTAAAAATGCATTTGGAGAGACACTTTCCTCAATATGATTGACTGGTAGATTATGTATGTGTCATCAAGTCGGTGTTGACTCTTAGCAATCACATAGATTTTCTCCAGCAGGATCTGCCCCCAACCTCATCTTTCAGGTCTTGCAATAGGGCACCCATCACTGCTGTATTTGAGTTCATCCACCTTGCTACTGGTCATCCTCTTCTTGCCTTTCCTTTTACCTTTCCTAGTGCGACAGACTTCTCAAAACAGCTAAGTCTTAGCCGATATGTCTGAAGTATGATAATTTGAGCCTAGTCATTTGTACCTTGAGTGAGAACTCTAGGTTGATTTGTTCAATGATCCATTTGTTTATTTTCTTGGCTGTCCATGGTATTCTCAGGAGTCTTCTCCAACACCAGATTCAAAAGCATCAATATTCTCTCTATCCTGCTTCTCAAAATCCAACTTTTGCCTCCATAAAGTGTCACAGAAAAAAACCATTGCCTGCATGATTCCGATCATTGTAGGTACAGATCCACATCCTAGCATCTGAATAATTTTTCCAAGATCTTCATTGCTACTCTACCAAGTGCTAGTATGTTCCTTTAATCTACACACTTCTAAATACACATGCTGTGAACTAAAACAACACACAGCAACATCTGACAATGTGTGATCAACTACGGACAACTGCTTGCCAAGGTGCATCTCAGTCCGGGAAGTATGGATGAAGCCATTTATTATATTACCATTTCTAAATACAGAAATTCCTCAAGCATGTATTACTAGGAATAAGCCGGCAAAACACAGAGCAGTGTCAGATCTTGGCCGAGTTACGCTGCCCTCACTGAACACAGCAATTCCATAAAAATACTATTCTGAAATTGAACTGAAAAGAATAAAGCACTTACAGCTTCCAAATTTTAATGGACAAGCATGGGCATCCATGGGGAAGTCTTCGAGTTGCATGGGGCATTCCGCAGATATGGTTAATCTATCAGGAAGAGAGACAGAATTCAAGTCTTTCCTCTGATTCAGAAATAAATATCTTTGTTTCAAGTGAACAGCATCAATCTGTTTCGAATGTCTCCTTTTGGTAGTTAAATGATTTCTAGGTTATAGCAGTGTTGAATCTTTACTGATAACATTTTCTCAGTCTGTGTAATTAACAGTTTCCTTGCTGTAGCAAGACCTTGAAATGCTGAAGTATTTATGGTGTTTTATGTCATTTGCATTATGGCAATGCTATGGATGATATTATCTCCAACTTCATGGATTATTGGGAATAACGGACACCCTCTCACCCCAAATGATTTGTTAAATTGAGGTTTCACTGTATTTTAATGTTTAGTGCTAACAATTTAGACAGACAACAAGGGCCTATTTTTTAAAATCTCAGTAAATCATTAATCCTGGCAATCTTCCACACCTATCTCACTTCAGAGTTATGCCCACATCAAATGAAGTATTGTGTACAGGAAATGTCAAATGCAGTTCAAAGACCACAGAGACTCCTTTAAGACTGCCATACCTACATCAAGCACATCCTTTTTATAGGGTCAGGAAGCAAATAATCAAGCAAATTGACCAGGACCTTTATCTTGGAGGCCAGCATCAGGAAGATAATTGCTCCTTAACGAGACCTTCAGAGTGGTGAACTGCACTGGGATACAGGAAATTGCAATCCACATTGGCGCTGAATGATGGGAAGAGAGACAGAAAGATTGCCCATCTAACTTAGTGTTCCAAAATCTAAGGTCTCTGAGGTACCTCTGCAAACTCTTGGGTACAGCCTCTTGGGATCTCCAAAAGTTATTACCAACTATAGCTTAATGTGAGGGAAAAGGGAAATTATTAAACACATAATTAGAAAGTGATCGTGTAATCTGTATTTAATTTGAGTGAACATAATGCAGTAAGATCAAATTCAGGTTAAATCAGGAGAGAATAGGGCAGAGGAATCTTGTCCTTATTGGGTTATAAGGCTGTAAACTAGAAGTAGAAGAATATGTGATTAATGGGCTTCTGGTTCTGACACAGAACAGTCCCCTTTGTGGCTGTAAAAACTGACTGCTCTTTCATGAATCCCAAGATCAGTTGCCTGAAGTGATTGTTTCTGCCATATCACGCAGCCAGTCCAAAACGATCTACTCCCTATGATGAAATAGCACATGGCCCCAGCACCATTGGTGTGTATCAAGGTGAGTAGTATCCAAAACCAATACATTTATGTTGACAGAAAATCTCTCAAAAGCTCCATTCCCCCTCTTCAGCATACTTCATTGTGATCAGCTAATCAGCTGCTTTTTTGTGACATCAGAAATCAGCTGCCTGAGGCTGATGCATCATTTAATGTAATGGGAGGGTCACCCCTAAATACCAGTGATGGTCTTGTAGACCAAGTGTAAGCCCTTTGAGGTAGTCCAGACAAGCAGCACCAAGGTTACAGTAACAAATCTTGCAAGTCTGAAAGTACTTCTCTCCCCCCTCACCTTTACAGTCCAAGAAACTAGGGAGGGTCCCTTCTGAGGTGTTTGCCCTGCCCCCATTGCTTCTGGGGGCTCTGCTGCAGCTTGTCTGATCATTGCCTTGACTGTAGCTCCTTCTCCTCCTCTTCCTCTCTCTCAAGGACATTCTCACAGACCATTACACCAACACTACTCACAGCAAGGAAAAATCTTCCCAGGTTTTCAGCTACAAATACCCTATGTTGTGTGTGCACTTACAGTAGGATGTGAAAAGAAAAGAAGGCATTAAAAATCAGATAATTTTGTGTTCCTTGTTTGCACAGGATCTCTTTTCTCCAATTAACTATAACAGTGCTGTTATATTTCACCTGGGAAAAAACTCAGAGAGTAAAGGGAAGATGAGCTTTAAAAAGTATGTGACTGGATTTTTAAACAGTGAATTACATTTTTAACTGTCCTTTGTATCACTTTTGATTCCATGTTAGCCATTCATTATTGTGATTTAATGTGCAATCTTTTTCATATATGCATGTATATGGTGGGGACAATTTTGGGATGATTATTTCTCTTTACATTCATATTTTCTGAATAATCCGAGAAGTGACTGCATTTTCTGGTGGCTGCTTTATATTGCAGTTAGCGGCTTTATCTCAAGTTGGATCATATGTCCATCTGATTAACTGCTGTCTATATAAGCTTTCCCCAACTTGATGACCTCCAGTTGCATTGACTTCAAGCATTATAATCTTTTAACCAACAGCCTTGAGTTATATAGTCCAGGAACTAGGAACATTGGCATCAAGCATATGTGGAGAGTGCCAGATTGGGGAAAACCTCAGGCAGAAGGAAGCACGTGATTTCATTCTGCAAAGAAGTCAAATGTGATTAAGCATTTGGCTGTTGTGTAACTATGTCAAAGAGAAAAAAATCTAAGTGATGACATTTGGCCCAGAAAATGACACAATGGATTAACCTAAATTAAAAGAGCATTCAAAGGCAAATTCTTCTAAGGTTGGATCTACATTTTGCGTGTCTATAAAATAAATACACATTGAAGTATTTTATACACTTTACTTGAAATGGGGCTTACCTTGAACAAAAGACATCTAGGATACTTACAAATACTCTCACTGATTTTGTACTTTAAACGGAATACATCGGGTGAAATAATGTAGCAAGTTGATTTTTATTTTTTCTTTTGGGTTCACTGTTCAATATCACCTGTATTTGAAGCGAGCCACTTTTTTATAAGTGTCATAATACTTCACTGCTTAGCAAGAGTAAGTTCTTTTTAAACCATTGTGAGGGTAACCTGCTCCCAATCTCTCATTCTAGATGGCCAATACCCATTGCCTTTGTCCCAAAGCAGGATTTTCTTGAGTGTTTGCTCATGTAGGCAGAAAGTGACTCCCTATAATTCATCTATGTCCAGGTTCAAAAAAAAAAAAAAAGCTGGGAGAAAATTGTGCAAGGGAAGAACACAAGGTGTGCAAGGCTGAAGAGAAAGGAAAAGGTAAAACATCTTCCTTCAATTTTTCAGAAAACCAGAAAGCAAGTGCAAATAAAACTGAATCAAAAAGGAACTTCTGATTCAGGGGAACTTTTGGACAGACACACATAAATGTTGAGTGAATACTGTGCTAAGGCTTTCTAAGGTTCTATGGGTCAAGATCCTTATTGTTTATTGTTTTATTTTATCCACAAAAGCTGGTACATCTGATGCATGTTGGGGTCTCTGTAGCAGTTTACTATTTTACCAGCAGATCCTCCTACTCTGTGAACTGTGTCTGTGAGAGATTTCTTTTAAGATGCTGTGTGATTTCAGCAGCAGTCTATGTTTATTGTCTCCAACCTTGTTTCTACACCTGACTACTTAAAGCAGCAAAAGGAATGTTTACATTCTCTCTCTTTTTGCATAAAATAATTTTATTCATTGCCAGTCACATATGTTACAGGGCACTATATACATGCTGGCTGGGGAATTCTGGGAGTTGAAATGTACCCATCTTCAAGTTGCCAAGGTTGAGAAACACTGGTATAGGGTATGGGATTCTTATCTGCTGCACACTCTGGGGTTAAGAAAGAGGACTCCAGGTAAAGGGGTCACCCTGGAAGATAGGTAATGGTACTGGTAACTACCAAGCAGCAACACCAAAACAGGAAGCTGGGCCAGAGTTTGTAAAACTCAGAAAACCTTTGGGGAAAGAAGGTTGAGACCTCCCCACTTTCCACCTTACGGACTCAACCCGCTAATTCCATAAATGCTACTGTTTTGCATGTAATGTTGACATTTGAAGACACAAATTCCTCATTTTCTGTTTCCAGCCTTTAGTGGCTTTCACTGCATCAACTTTGGTGAGCACTTCGTGGATTTCCTCCAGCTTTTAATGCCTGTGCTCTGCAAAGCCTTACTGTGCTGTGGATAGGCAGGAACATACGAACACTCCGAATTCAGACACCAGAACTTCTATTCATTTTGTCTTCACAGATAAGTCTGTGCTAACTTTGTATCTAGAACATTATTACTGTTTTGGGACTGCAATACGGTAATGAGGCATTAGCCTGTTGGGCTGTTTTGGGAAGTGCTTTCACCACCTCCAATGGCAGAAGATACAGCAGGGCAAAGAGACAATCCTTTTGGCTGTCAGCAGAATTTCCTTGATCACTGGCTGGGGAAGGGTGGGATCATCCATCCTTGCCATCATAAAAGGCCTTTATTATTATGGGAGGCCCAACCAAATTCCATGAATATAATCACAATTAGCTCCAAAATAGAAAGAACTTTAAAAATTATGCAGGTAGGCTACAATGGTTAGAGCAAAAAAACAAAAACTCTGTGTTATTCTCCTGTTGACTTCTGGAACTCCTTGCAGAACCTACCATCTGCCCTGCTCCCATCATACTGCCCTTTTCCCAGCCCTTTTCACTGGCTTGCATGATAAGTCCTACCTCTTGCAATTCCCTCTTCTGCTCAACTCTCAAAGGCCCAGGGTATAAGCCTTCCTCTGCAGCTCTGCATTCTGAATCCAACTTAATACAAATGGGCACATTTTAATTTATTCTTAAATTCTTGGATCTGCCTTTCTGAATTTAATTCAGAATTCAATACAATTGCTAGTAGTAAAAATCTAAGCACTGGCAATATTTGGTCCTCAAGATGCTGTAGCTCCCATACATCCTAGTAATTGCCAAGATGCTATAGCTTCAGGAAGTTAATTCAAAAACACCTGGAGAGCCAGATGTTCTCCATTCCTGTGGGTGTCAATACAAAAATGCCTGTAGTTCTGCAAGATGTCAGTCTTTGAGAAGCTTATATTACTATTGAAGTTCTACTATAAGTTGTATAGGCAGGTCAAGCAACAATTTATTATCAATAGTGAATAGTAATTTATGCCTACGGGTGGTCAAAATCACTAATGTGGGACAGAACATTTTACGTTGCTATCATTTCCCATGGAAAAATTTCCTATCAAAATTTTTCCCTGGCTCATAAAATTAATCACTGACATCTCATTGTATAGTTTTA